TTATGAGCGCCAACAGGCGTTTTTCATTTCGCCTCTCTCTCTCTCTCTCTCTCTCTCTCTCTCTCTCTCTCTCTCTCTCTCTCTCTCTCTCTCTCTCTCTCTCTCTCTTGCAAGAAAACACACATGCGCTTTGTCTCGTCTTTCTGCTTTGTCTTATTTTTCTGCCTCACCATCGGGTCCTCTCCGCTTTTCTCTCTTCTCTGTCGTCGCTCGACTTTCTTATCCTTTTGAATGCCAACTCTGTTTGTGAATGGATGGTGTATGAACTTCTGGGCGAGATTTCGTTTTTCTCCATGGATGCTGCATGATCGGTGATCTGTCTCCTGACCTACTAGGGTTACTGAATTTCTCAGCTCAGCTTCCCCGGTTCGTGATGAATCCACACACCAGCAGCAATCTCCCATTCATACACCATCCATTGAGAAACGGGGTCGGCCTGTTTTCACCTTTTCACGCCTCTCTCTGAGCAGTGAACACAGAGAAACGTCCCCGGTGCGTGATGAATCAAGCCACCAATCACCAACCATCATGATGGCATCATGATGGATGAGCAGAAAGAAACGGCAGTGCCGTGCACGAACACAGGATGTCGTCTAATCGACGTAATGTATGCCTCATCATTCACGATTTCCTTCTAACACGACACATCAGACACAATATACGTGTGAATTCAGGATGCCCTGTTATTAACATAATCATAAGAGAAAACTACGGCGCAGTCAGTTTTTTTTTTTTTTTTTTTTTTTTGCGCAGTCAGGGTTTGAGTGGGTTTGAAAATGCACTTGCACTTGTCAATGAGGCAAAAGGTCCGGTAAAGGTGAATGAATAGAAGCTAGGTTTCGGGACAGGTGGGGGCACGTGGGGGAGTGTTTGTTGTTGTGTTCGCCGGATTGCCTGAAGTGCATTTTCAAACTATTTTGGTGAGTCCTTCGGGACAAATACGTTAAAATTGGAACGAAACAGAGAAAGAAGATTAGCATGTATGTATCAATCATCAGAAGACAGAGTGATAGACGGCTTCAACACAACAACACAGTCTATTTCAGACTGGAACAGCATATGAGGAAGAAGGAAGATGAGGAGGGAGAAGGAGACTCAAGACAACAAAGCCAATAGTGGGTCTCGCCGCAGGGCCCACGAAACGAAAACGAAAACGAAAACGAAACGAGTGCATCTGTCCTTTCGTCCACGAAACGAAAGGACGCAAAATACACTCATTACTATTTATAGCAAACAGACGAACGTGGCCATTTTCTGCAGGAAGATGCACTCGTTTCGTTTTTCGGTTCGTGTCCCGTGCGGCGAGGCCCAGTACCAGTAACCCGAACGCGACATTCTTCGAAAAATATGGAACTAAGCACAATGGGACACTCTTCGAAAAATATGGAAGTAAGCACAATTGACGAACAACATAGTTCGTCCAGCGATGGACCCAAATCGAGAAATGGTCCAAAAAAAAAAAAAAAAAAAAAAAAAAACTATTTTCGGGACTGCGGCGAAGTTACCCACAATAATAATATCGGCCTGGCCGCAGTACTCACCAAATGTGCAAAATGGAGAATATATATTTTGCTGTAAGGGGGAAAGAAAGGGGGCTTAGGCTTGGATCCCACTGGCCGGCGGCCTGGAAACTTCTTTCCAAGGAAGTGTCTTTCAGACCCCACAGGTGTTGGAAACCGTCGTGGAAAGTCGGCCCGGAAAGGAATTTCGGACCCCACTGCGTTTGGAAAGAGGTCGTGGAAAAGCTGATGGGGTGTTTCTACTCGGCTCGCGGCCTGGAAATTTGTGGCGACGAGTTTCCAAACAGTTTCCAAGGACGGCTCCAGATGAGTAGGGGGGGGGCATGGAAACGAGTTTCCAGAAAACGACTGGACGGCGCGAACCAAGGACCGTAGCCGTGGACCGTTTTCTGGACCAGTGCTTCCGCGCGAACACGGTTTTCATTTTCTTGCGTCGCACGGTTCCCACAGGGGCCCGGGGGGGTCTGGGCGCTCCATGCTACCCTCGGACTGCGAACGGCAAGACGCAGTATTTCGAATTTGAACTTTTTTGGTGGGCTCGGGACGTAGGCCAGCCATGCAGTCGCTTCGTGCCCACCGACTTCAATGGCAGAAGCATCGGCAGTGACACCCTCACGTCATCGTCGTCGACACGTCCATTAAACCCTCCGTCGTTTCTCACGGGCGTTATGCCATCGCTCATCTCCTTCGCGCGTGCAGGTTCCCTGGCCTGCCAACGGGGAAGCCATCTCTGGTGTCGTCGGCAGGCGTTCTCCGGCCGGGGCTTCCATTTCGAAGCCGTAGGCGTTGTGCCGAGCGATGTTTGCAAAACGCACAACCCGGCCACGGCGCTCTCGCTATCTGCCCGCGCGCACACGTGTCGTCCAATGCTGACCTCCCGTGTCGTCGCCATTGCACATGCCTTGCTCCGTCGTGTGCCTCCCTTGCCATCCTCCCTTCTTCGTCTGCCTCGGCAGGGCGGTCGTTTGTCCTCGCCGGAGAGCAACACCAGCTCATGTGGCCACGGGTGGGCTGCACGGGACGATGTCGTCATAAGTCCTCATCCAAACACTCGCCACGTGTCGGTTGTCGAACGCTGTGGTCGGCCGTGTGGATGTGGCAGCTGCCATCGTCACTGTTCAGTGGATGTTGTCATAAACAACCACTGCGGCGGCTGCGGTCGGCGAAAACAACCATCTTTGGCTGTTATCGTTGTCCTGCTTGCCGTTGCCATCCTCCTTTCCGCAGAGTTTGTGTTGTCCGTTGTTTTCTGGTGCGCAATCGTGTACTTGTGCTGTTGTCGGTGGAGGTAAGCAGCGCAGCGTTGTTGTTTGAGGGCGCATTGCGTGCATTGCGTGTCTGCACGTTCCCTGGCCTCCGTGTGTAAGGCTTCCGCAGCCAGATGGAGTCGAACCGGTCGACGACAGATCCCTGTGCGGGCAATGGCGGGGGTTTCCAGACCCAGGACATGCGACAGCAAGGATCTGTCCACTACTCCACGCCTTCGCCGTTGAGTGTGCAATCCTTCAGCAGGCAGATGCAGGAGGTTGTGCGTGCGGGGCCGATTCAAGTGCCTCCTGCTCGTGTGGGCTCACCATCTGTCCATCACGTGGATGCTGCACGTCGGCGGTTCGTTGTTCGACTTTCTGCAGTGGCCGCCGTGCACACGGGCCAGACGTCGTTTTGCACACAGGTTGGAGGCGGGTATGGCATGCCTTCTCCGCACATGTTCCCGGGGGCCGACGGATATGGCATTGCGCYRCACGTGTACCCCGCCCAGCAYACTGTGGAAAGGGGCGGAKTGATGAGGGAYGAGTGGCAGTGGTCYCCACAGTGCCGACAACYGTCGCAGCCCATGCATGGCSGGTTGTCCGCTCCCTCGCCCATGTCAGTCCCGCGGTCTGCTGCCGAGGCCTCACCTTCGCTGGCAGAAGTTCAACGAGAGGATATGGACGAGGGGTGGCCTGTCCATAGTCGTGCTCCGTCTCCTGCCGGCTTGCAAGGTCCTTCCTTTGGTGGCGAGGAAGAAGACTTCGTTGGCGACGATGAAGTTGAAGGTGATGGCGGTGACGTTGATAGGCGAAACTCGGACAACGTGCAGGAGGAGAGAGACAATGCTACTGTCGGGCAGAGAGATGGGGGCGAGAATGAAGTGGGGCCCCAAACCAGCAAGCGTGCAAACAAGCGGGGGGAAAAGATGCTGCTGCGAAAAGCAAGAAGCAAAACATCCCCTGGTCCTTGGATGAGAGGATCGCGCTGTCCAGAATTATGGCCGAAGACGACGCCCTTATGGTCGACGCCGATGGGCAGCATCGGTTTAAGCGGAGCAAGGACTGGTATGAGTGGGTGCACGATCGGATGGCGGAGCTGGGGTTTCCGCACAGGTCGGCGGAGGATTGTCGTAAGAAGTGGCAGGGCATGATGGCTGCCGCGAAGTTGATTCTCGACAAGTGTGAGAATGCTTCAGGGAAACCTTCCTACTGGGACATGACCCATGAGGAGCGGAAGGCGGAGCAGGTTCCACTAGGCTTCGAGAAAGCTCTGTGGGAAGCGATGGAGTGGAAACTGAATCGGCCTTCCATCAAGTGCGACAACACGCTGGTGTCGGAGAACCTGCCAGCTAACGCGGGGGGGAATTCTTCGAGCGGCGGTCCTGCACAGCCGTCGTCGGGGAGGAGCGCTTCTGACGGGAAAGCAACGGAGGATTCGGACCACGCAGCGAAGACACGGAGGACAAACACTCGCAAATCGAGGATGGACGACACGATCAGCGGAGGGACAGCATTGGGTAGGGCGATGGAGGACGCGACAAGGTGTTACGGCGAGGGTTTGGATAAGGCCGCTGCCACTCTGGCGAGGGCAACGTCGGAGGCAGGCTCGGCGATTGCGGCGAAGATCGGTGACGTGGCAGATGCCATGCGTGGCGGGAACACTGTCCTTGAGATGCTCGTGGGGGTTCTCGCAAGCCGTGGAGGTGGGGGGAACGGTGCCGCATACGATAGGGAGGATACAAACCCCTCTTCGCAGTATATATATATATATATATATATATATATATATATATATATATATATATATATATATATATATATATATATATATATATATATATAAAGATGGGTACCGGTTGTCGTTTTCGACCCCCGACGTCCAAAACGGGCGTCCCCTCCCTTGTCCTGTCACCATCAACCGGTGTGTACATATTTGTGGACACACCAGTTGATGGTGCCCGGACAAGTGATGGGACACCCGTCGTGGATGTTGGGACGAGGAAACGACAGTCGGCACCCGTCTTGCCCGTTGTTCACGTGTGTCTGTGGCCGGTGCCTGCGTATATATACGTGGGCAGTCGCGGCTTCGCTGGGCAGCGCAGTCGTTGGTG